TTCCTGCTCTCTCCCAGCCACCCCTCTCCCTCCCCTCCCGATGCTTGTTATTTTCCCTTGGATCCAATAAATTAAAAATTGATGGCAGCTCAGAAAGTGTTGTGCTCCGGTGAGGGTGCCTGTTGGTGCCGGTTCAGTGTCACCAGAGTCTCGGCCCCTCCCCGAATGCTCGCACTCTGCGGGGAGGAGAAGGGAAAGACTCCTCTGCCGATTATTGATAAGCGCGGGCTTGCTGGCAAAGGCTCTGTCTTCGTAGGAAGCAGGTGTAAAGTCTCCAGTCAGATGCAGAGCTGGGCGGATGGATGCGCAGCATTTCTGTAAACACACTTACACATCACGGTGGCTGCTGTGACGTTGGTGGCACAGGGTTTGAAGAACCTGGCATCCCTCCCCTCCTCCCCCCAGCCCCCCCCTCCCATGGTGGAAACAATAATCCTGCATGTATTTCTCCTGGTTTGTGGGTTAGCCATTGCAGACGCGTCGACACAGGGGAAGGGGGACAGGAGGAGCTCATGTGCTGTGTTTGCAGCAGGGCACACACTCTGGCTCTGGGGACAGCAGGTGCCTGACCTCTTGGCTGGAATGTCCAGAAGGGCAGGTGCAGGGGCATTTGTAGAGATGGACCAGGGCAGGAGGGGCGCTTGGAGCCCTTCGTGTGAGGGACTCACTGGCTGGGTAAGGGCTTTGCTGACCCCTGGAAGCAGCTGGGGGCTTGCTGGCTACCAGCGTCTGCCTATCTCTCCATTTCTGTCTTCTGACCCTGATTCCTTCTCAGCAGAAATGAAACATGGGAAAGTTTGTCTTAGGATCAAGTGCTTCCCCCTCCACTTAACCATGATGCCCATTATTATTTGTGAAGCCTGATTTCATTGCTTCTAAAAGCGTTTACCAGCTGGGAGGAGGCCCAGCCTTGTAAATAAAATGTGGTTTTGTTGTAAAAGAAAATCTAACGCGTGTGCATGCGTGTGTGTGTGTGTGTGTGTGTGTGTGTGTAAATATATATTTGTTCGTGCGCTTTAGGGTTTAACATTTCAGAGCTCTCCCCAGTCGTCTGATATCTGACATTTGAGCAGGTCGCCTGCTGCATCCATTCATTTTTCCTCCTAATGAGTCAACATTTTAGCAACTGCTCTACTTTATCCGGCTTGTAGTATGTGGAAAACCGGAACGTTTTGCAGGGCTGACTGGCACCTGGGCAACTGCTCAGGGAAGCACGTAGCATCTCAGAGGAAGACCCCATCTTTGCTTGTTCCAAAAGCCGGGGTCTGCTGGAGGAGGATGCAGGAGGGGCCGGGGCCTATGCCTCGTTCCTGGAGCTTTCTTCTCTTTGGGGTGCAGGTCTGAGCTGCTGCCCACCCAGACCTGGGTGTCTCTGGGAAGAAGAGGAGGCTCTCTGAGGTCTGGACCCCTTCTCCCTTCTGTGCTCCTTTCAGGGCTTGGGCGTGTGGAACTTTCTCTTTTTCCTTTATTATTGATACAGTTCTGAAAAGAGACACACACACATGCCCTACACCACACACACATGCACGCACACACGCACCCTACACACCCAGCCTGGTATCCGCCTGCCAGCGGAAATGAAACCGCAGTGTTCAGGGTGTCTCTGGAGGCCTCCAGCCTGAGTTCGCAGGCCCAGTGCTGGTCCACCTGCTGTGACCCAGAAGTTGGGTGGTTTCGGGGTTGCCTGCTGCCTGAATGCTGGGGTCGACCTTGCCACCTTCCTCGGGAGTGTCACATGTGGCAGGTCAAAGCTCGGAGCGCCACAGCCTGGGGTGGGGGTGGAGAGGAACCATGCTTAGGAGTTGACAAGGTGAACATGCCAGTTGTGTTGGAGTTTTACTTTCAATGCTGAAAGGGGGAGGGGAAGGAAGTGATTGTTTTTATGGGGGGGAAGTCTGATTCCTTTTCCTCCCAACTCCCTTGGAACCCCTGAGTTGGAGCTCAATGTGGGGAGGTGGAGGCCAGAGTTCAGAGCTGAGTCCGGAGCCCTGGACAGTCCCAGGCTGTCCCGGGACACGGCAAGCTTGGCCCCCAGGCTGGGTGGCTCTGAGCCACTTTGATGGTGAAATCACAACTACAGCACAGTAACCAGCACTGGGGACGCCCAGACTCGATCACCAGGGCCTGCTGCATGAGGAAAGTGAAAAGGCAGAGACTGCCAGAGAAAGGAAAGAATACCAGATGTTACCAAAAAAAAAAAGTGACAAAAGAGATGCTGGTACAATTTTGGCAAAAGAGAGGGTCCAGAGACAGGGAGGGATGCTAGGGAATCGGCAGAAGGGGACCTTTGCTAATTTTAAAAATTAGTCCATGTTTCTTTTGAATTAGAAAATGCATTTCAAATTTTCGAAGCTTCCCACTCCTAGCAGAGAGGAGATACTCATGTTTGTTAGAACGCCTGCCCAGGAGGGTGGAGGTAGCAGAAAAAGTTTAATAAAACACAATAAAGAATCAACTGAAGATTCAGTGACCAGACGAAAGGGAACTCCTTGGCCTCGTAAGGAAGGATGACCAAGTTGGGGCATGGGTTTGTTGCTGCTGTTTTGACCCGGGCTCTGTGAAGTGGGCAGCTCCCAGCCTTGCTCAGGGTGGCATTAAAAACCCTCCCAGGTACCATGCCTCACCCTTATTTCGTTTGAATTCTCAATTTCATTTTGTCCTTTTCTGCTTTTCAGCTCACTTCTTTTGTGCTGCTTCTTCTTCTTCCTTTTTTTTTTTATACAAAACAATATTTTGACATCGTTCTCCCATTTATTAGAGCTCCTTTTCTAGCAATGGTGCACAATACATCCTTATATTTCTAAAGAACTGTTTGCCTAGTCCTCTCCTTTGGCTCTGAAATTATGTATATGTAATTGGTAATTAAAGGTGCGAGCTTTTCAATATAAACAGTATTGCTCAATGTTAGATCGTTAAAGGGAAAGGAGGCACCGAATAATTACCTTTTACGTTCTGACAAACTGCTCACAGGAATCCAGCCTCTCCCTCGAATCGCTGTTCAGTGTGAAGGTTGTGATTACATTTTAACCATAGCAAAGCATCTTTTCATAAAATAAATTGGTAAATTAATTATGTAGCATTGTCTTCGAACTCCTTTTTAAGTAAACTCCGATTTCTTTTTAAAGTGTAATTAATGGTTTCCGGGAGCGGCATTGTGAGGACTGTTTCTTTACCTTGTTGGATCTTTTTGTTCGAGTTCTGCACGCAGTACATTTAGGATTTTCCTCATCTGTGGAGTGTTTTCCTCCTGCCACGTTGCTGATGCATTTCTACGTTTAATTCTGTGGGGGCCCAGTGTGCTTTTCCGTAACCACGGGCAGGAACTCCAGTTGTGATTTCCTTGCTCGGCGGTATCTGCACCCTGCCCATTCCGGCTGGGTCCATATGTGCTCCTCCTACGTCACGAGCCGTGGATTCTGTATTGGGTTTTTATACACCGGCTCTCCCAGGCCCCGAGCAAGCTTGTGTTCAGAAAATACAGAGCAGTGATTTATATGTAGCATGGAGATGCCACAGAATTTTTTCCTTAAATTATCTGTTCTTTGGCTCCGGCCCGTCAATAACTTCACCGCCACGGAATGTATTTTCCTCCTTTCCATTCCTTCTCCTCGTTCTTCTGTGGTTTTCATTATCCTTTCCCAAATACCACACGGCTTCAGATTTACCTGTCTCCTCCGTTTCAGACCTTTGCTTGTCCCTGGTTTCTCTGACGACTTGAATGCCTGAGTTTCCTACACCACTCCTGACATTTCTCTTGAAGAATCCGAGCCAAGTGTGCCCAGGTCCCGAGGGGAATATGAAACCCCCTTACTGTCCACTTGCCTTTATCGATGACACTTTTGGCTGCTGAGTTTTTCAGTTTTCCCTTGAGGGGGTGGCTGATTTTTGAGGTACTTCTAGCTTCTGAATGTTTGGGTCCTATGGCCTCTACGAAACAAAATAAAACACCCCCCAAACAAAACTCAACAACAACAAAAGGAAATAGGTTGACTGCTAAAGCTATGTAAAAGCCTACAGCCTACTGAAAATGTGCCAAGAAAAGCTTTTGGAGTCTGAAGATTTTTTTTTCTATTCTTTTTCTTGGGGGGCGGTGCTGAGAGTAAGGCTAGGCTATGAAAAGGGGCAGCAGGGGGCTGAGTAGTGCTGGAAAATTCACAAAGCAGTGGCAGCGTGGCCAGGAGCAGAGTGTTTGGCAGCCAGAGCAGCTCCCCTCTGCAAGCAAAGACCACTTTCTGAGTCCCTTCTGTGGCTGTGTTTTTCCTTTCCATGTTTTTTGGAACCTGACACTCACTTGTTGCTTTCTGAGCATGTGCGCTTTTTTATTCTCTCCCCAAAGGACTGGCCCTTTGACGCACCCATCTGGGTTTCTGTTTTCTAGTCCAGCACAAGGCCAGGGCCCAGGTAGAGGAATGTGAGTGGGATGGACCTGAATGGGAAGGACGCAAGAATGAAGGCCCCAGGGCAGAGGGTGGCGGCTCCTGCCTGAGCGGGGTGACCTGCTCTAGCTCCCTGGTTCTCAGCCTGGGCTGCCCACTGGGATCCTCTGGAGAATCTTGGAAGACGATCACGTTTGGTTCCCAGGGCAACTGATCTGGGTGCTGCTACCTGGGTACTGGGGGTTTTCAAAGTTGCCGGGTGATGCTCAGATTCTTTGAAGTCAGCTGATGCTGTGAGCAGCCAGGATGCGTGTGGCTCGCGTGTGGACACGAACGTGCGCTCTCATGCTGTGTAGGGGATCTTGGTAGCAAGGACGCTAAGAAGCACTGAGACCTGCTCTCCCGAAGTGCCAACCCCCGGGACCCATGCTGTGCTCCCACAGCCTCAGTTTGCCCATCTGTCATGAGCCAGATCTGGGCAGACTGGCTAAGGTCCAGCGGCTGGCAGCGGAGGGCACCTGCCTCTTGGTGGGGAAGGACGGGGTGGAAGGCGTGCCGGGTGCTTGTGATTGCCTAAGCCCATCTGTCTTCTCTGCCCCTCCCCTGTCTCCTTTCTGTCTCCAGCAGAGGCTGACCATGTGGAGGCTGCCATCCTCGAGGAAGATGAGGGTCTGGAGATAGAGGAGCCCAGCGGCCTGGGGCTGATGGTGGGTGGCCCCGACCCTGACCTGCTCACCTGTGGCCAGTGTCAGATGAACTTCCCCCTGGGGGACATCCTGGTTTTTATAGAGCACAAGAAGAAGCAGTGTGGCGGTAGCCTGGGTGCCTGCTATGACAAAGGCCTGGACAAAGGCAGCCCGCCACCCTCCTCGCGCTCCGAGCTCAGGAAAGTGTCCGAGCCAGTAGAGATTGGAATCCAGGTCACCCCGGATGAAGATGACCACCTGCTCTCACCCACGAAAGGCATCTGCCCCAAGCAGGAGAACATTGCAGGTATGAAACACTGCACTCACCTGGTTGCTGTGGAAGCCACCTCCTGGGTCCCGCACCCTTGGTCTGGGTCTGGGAGTTTCAGGTCTGAGGGCTTCCTGGATGGCCTCTGGGCCACTGGCTGGGGCTCCCCTCCCTGAGGGCCCACCATTCAGGTGACCCACTGGAGGCGACAGGCCTGATGTAGAGGGGCCCAGCTGGGCTACGCTGGGTGCTTTGCTCTGGGGGAAGGTATTCTATCTTGGGGCTTCCTCCAGAGGGGCATAGCATGGACATTTGGAAGTCTGCTTGGCCTTCTCTTTGTCAGTGATCTTGGATCTGCTTGCTCTGTGCTGGCCTTGGAGCCAGACCTCTTGGATTAGAATCTGTTCTTTATGGTCTACACGTGTCTGTTTTTCTGTTTTCAAAATGGAGCTACCGAAACCAGCCTCTTGAGGGTCACTGTGGGGACTGAGGCGAGGATGCCTGGGGCAGCAGCTAGGAAGCACTTAGGACTGGGAGCACTCATATCCTCTGCTGTCTCTGGGTTCAGTTTCCTATCTGTGTCAGGAGGGAATAGGTTGCCTCGCACGTTGCCTGACTCAAGGGTAGGTCAGGGGAGAGCTGCTGCTGCTCTGTGCAAACCTGAGTGCTTGCTTCTGGTTTATACTTCAGAGTCCAGATGGCCTGGGCAACCGGGGTGCCCTGGCCAGCCTGTGTTCCCTCAGAGTGGCAGCCTATCCTGGAACAAGGCAGGAATCAGAGCTCATGCAGATGAGGGTTTGAATCCTGCTGGTTGACTTTGGGCTAAGTGCTCTATGAGCCCACGCCTCAGTTTCCCCATTTGTCAATAGGTGGTGAGAACCCCAGGAGGGATTCCATGAATGCTTTGCCAGTGGAACTTTTCTCTCCAGGGTCCCCTTTGTCTCTGCAGCATGGCGGTAGGAAGCTGGCTGGGAAAATGTGTGGCTAGCTCTCCCAGGTTTTGGCCACGGAACCTGTTGAAGGCACTGGGAGGAACCGAGGCTTTGGAGACAGATGAGTGTGGGCGGGGACCCCTGTCACCTCCGAGGCAGTCAGGCTCCTGCAGCACACTCCCCTCTTCTGTGTTTCACTGCCCGACCTGTAGCATTTGCCCCAGACCTCTGGCATTCTCTTTGCAGGCCTAGGTATTTCCCAGCGAGAGGCTGAGGGTCACTGTGGGGAGGTTTGCTTAAGAAAGCAGCTAAATGTGATTTCATAAAAGGCAAAGTTAACCCCCGGTAGCTTTGTCCTCACCCTTTGGCCCCCTCCTGCCCTCTGTTATTTTTTTTTTCTTTTTGGGTAGTAATATTGCAGCAGCCTACAGTATTTTTATTTTATGTGTAACGAAAGATATTCTTGGTCTTTTTGTTCAGCAACAGGACGAATGGATTTCTCCATTCTTGAAGAAATATGTAAAACAATCCCTTGGAAGTCTAAAGAGATAGGCTTGTTCAAAGCATTTAAAATGTTATTTTAATCAAAGGCACAAAGTAGTCTACACGCTGTGTCGGCTGCAGCCGACCGTGCCAGTTGACGAACCATCGTGCGCGTCCTTTCTAGTCCAGTTTTCCTATTTCCCTCCCTACTTTGGTACCAACTTTCCTTTTCTTGCCTTTTAAAAAAAATTTAATAAAAAAGGAAAGATTAGAGAATAAAACTTCAGTGGCTCAAATGTATAAAGTAATTTAATATGGTGGGAGCATTAATTATTTTAGCTTAATTGAATTCTGAGGACTGCAGCCCTTGCAGTTTTGTAGACAAGCCCTGTTTATTATTTCTCTGTGTAGATTAACAGTAAAGGAAACACAGATAACTTTCAGTTATTTATTGTAAAATAAATGTGTCAATTCATGTGTAAAGCAAGCTGCTCAAAGATAATTGAGTCTTTATATTTTAAGAGGGGCCTAGGAGTCTCAGGCGCTTCCCTGCCCAGACTTCCGGAAATCCGCACAGCTGTCGCCCCTGCCCCTGCCACGGCTGGCTTTGCTGGGACCCTCAGCTCCTGCCTCCCTGCTGTGGCTCCACAGTGCCCCTCAGACCCTCCAGGCCCCGCTGTTGTCCCCATGGCCTGGCTGGCCCTGACTGGCAGCTGGCCAACAAGTGGCCGTTCCTTTGAGGGGCTCTGGCCTGTGTCACCCGGCTTGGTCGGAAGGGCCTGCCTATCCTGGGCCCAGTGGTCCTCAGTTTCCCCAGTCAGCCCCTGCCTCTCCTCTGTAGCAGTTGCTTCTAGAAGGTGGGCACTGGGGTGAGGATGGTGCTCCAGAAGTGGACCAGAATGCTGGCCTGGAGCTGTGCGGGTCCATCCCAGCCTCACTGTGCCCCGGGGTAAAGATGGCTTTGGAATTTGGTCAGTTGTCCTACCAGACTGTGGACCCTTTCCTAGGGATAGTCCTCTGCAGACGGGTGCAGAGGTTACTACGTGAGGTTTTCACAAAGCAGAGGAACAGGAAGGTAGAGAAAAGAAGTTTCAGAGGGGCTGTCTCTTGGAGGCCATTTCATCTATGCGTATGCTTGTTCATTCAGCAACTGAGCACCTGTGGTCCTCCCTGTCCTGGGCCCTCGGCCTCCTGAGATGAGGTCCCCCAGGGGAGGGGAAGATGTCTTGAGGGTAGCACGGCCGGGAGTGAGCTGGGGGCAGCTCTGACCTTGTCCTGTGCATTGTCAGCCCGCCCAGTTCTCTGTGGGTCGAGATCCTGCACAGCCGTACCTGGGAACAGAGGTGGGGCTGGCCAGAGGCTGTGCATGGAGTCTGGGGGTCTGACCCAGGCAGGGCCTTTGGTGCGTTTCTTAGATCCCTCCTGCAGCCTCCTTGTCTCCATCGGGCCCTGCCGGAGGAGGAAGGGTCTTGGAGTGTTGGGGTTTGACCCATGAAGCACCCTGCCGGCCTTGTACTTGGCTTTCCGAGCCTTAGTTTCCTTACCTGCTTCTCTGATGATCTGGGGTTGATGATGTGTGCCAGGCATGTGGTGGACACATGAGTGTCTCCTCTCCCGTCTCCTCTTGGGCTCTGGTGCCCTTCCTTGGCATGGCCGATGTAGGCCTTCTTGGCTTGGGGCTCCCCGTTAGTGTTGGGGAGAAACTTCCATGGGGTTCCTGGAATTTCACCCTCAGAAACAACATCCGAAAGCACCAGACTGTGGCTCAGGCCCAGCCCTGTCATTTGTCACATTCCTGTCGCATTTGCTGGGGGTTGTTGCAGTCTCGGTGTCTCCTGGGTGGAATCCTACTGCCCTTCTCCTGCTGGTGGCCCAGGCCAGTCTCTTCACTTTTCTGACCTCAGTTTCCTTGTCTGCGCCTGCTTCTTAGCATTCCACAGAGGAATGCATAAATAGAAGTGTGGAAGATACCTACCCAGCCCAGGGTTAAACCGGAGAAGGACCAAGCTGTGGAAACTTCTAGAAAGCCAAGCTGCAGAAAGCAGGGGCTGTGCTGGGTGGCATCTGGGTTCTTGCTTCTCTCAAGACCTGGAAAATCAACCTGGGACCTCTCTCTAGCTAACTCCTTCCAGATGCTGCCTCAGGTGCCATTTGAAAGTTACTGGGGGCACGTGGGTGGTCACCATGTCATGGGTCTTGTCTGTTTTCACCCCTTCCATGACCAAAGAAGCTGTACCAGGGAGAAAGTAGCTGTCAGCTGCCACTCAGTTGGATCCTCCCCTCCATGTCAGTAGCTGCCCTGCTGCCACGTCCCTGCCTGTCTGTGGGAAAGGCCAGGGAGGAACCTGGGGTTCTCAGAGCAGGTGGGGTACAGTTGGGGTTTGCTTTTGGGGCCCCCGTGGCCCATTGCTGAGCAGCATGTGCTGCAGGAAAGTGTTTCAGAGGAGCCCCGGGATTTTCATGTTTTAGAAATAAAATACATGTGAAAAAAAATATTAGCTTGGCCAGTGGGAGAAACTCAATAACTTGCTTTTGCTGGAAAATGGAGATAAACTCCACTGGCAGGTAGTCTTACAAAAACTCGCATTTGATCTATTTGGAGTTGTTATTTTCCCTCTAAATTAAGATTAGTTAAATCCATGTGCTTCGTGGTATGGATTATCTCCTTTTATTATTAAGTCGTGACAGCTAATTATTAGCTGTCTGCTCTGAGGAATAGGCAGTGCTCTGGCGGGGATGTGGCCCTGGGCTCTGGCGGGGGCTGGGTACTGGTAGTGACCTCAGGCTCTAGCAGGGTGGTGTGGAAGAGGGGCTCCACCTACCTCATTGTGCTGGGTGGGTTTCTTTGGTTCTCTCGCTTAATTATTCAACCCAGAAATAGATGCTTGCAATCTCAGTGTGAATTTGGGCTCAGGGAGGTTGAGGGTTTTGGCCAAGGTCACACAGCAGCAGGAGGTCACACACGGGTCTGCCTGGCCTCCCTGGGTAGCTAGGGATCAGAGGCTTTGAGGGACAGGAATCATGTCTGCCTGGGTGGCAGGTAACTGTGGCAAGTGCTACCTCTGGGTGCCTCTGAAGCTTGTGCCAGACATGACCCTTTGTGGGTACAGCCAGGAATCCTTAGGCCCTGGAAACCCTAACCCACAGCATAGCATCCGCCTGTGCCCTCATGCTTTTCCTGGTGAAGCTTTTGCAGAGGCAGGTGGTGGCAAAGAAAGCGAAGAAAATGTGAATTTGGATGGATGGGCCTGGGCTGGAATTTTTTTTTAATCCAAACAAATTGTTTTGCAGCTTTCTTCCCATACATACCAATTGCTTGTTTTCTTTTGTGGAACTTTGCTTCTGACATCGACTTGCTGTGCGTACTGCCACGTGGTCACCTCCCCAAACATTTGTTGGCTTCCTGTGATCTTTCCAAATTTCAGTGTGCTTGGAGGTTTGGGGTAGATGGTGTGTATGCAGAGCAGACCCTGTTGTTCATCCTACGGGGCAGCTTGAGGGATCCCGAGGAGGGGCACAGACAGTACAAGCCAGGGCACAGCTTTTCTGAACCACAGTGTTGGAGTCGAAAATCTTACTGTATTTAAGCAAAAAAAAGCACAAAAACATACTGGTCATCTAGAA